CACTCAACAGCGCTTAGTCTGCAGAACTGCAGGATGCCCTCACTTGTTTCAGGCTCTGTCCATAACCTGTCCGTGAGATTGTAGGGTTTCTGAGGTTAGGGATATTTTATCCTTAGTTTCTTTTCAGTTTTTCATAATCTGTTGCAGCTTTAGGCACATTATAAATTTTGGGCAGATACTGACTTACAGATTTTACAGAGGAGAAGAGTCCATTTGACCTAAGCAGGCCACCCCCTTGCCCCTGTTCATCCATCACACAACTTACATTTATCCTTTGGACGCACCCTATCCATGGTTTAAGTTCCATATTCATATTCTGATACCTTTTTCTTCTGTTGGGAGCCTCAGTGTAATGGCGTGCCTTATATTGGTCGTTACTCTTAACTGTCATTTTGGTACAGTGGCTGCATCTATAGTGACAGCACATTACCACGCTGGTGATGGTGGTGATGGTGACTCCCAACAGCCAGCTTTGTTGAGGGCTTATTCACAGAGTGTCGGGCATCATGCTTAGCACCACGCAAGGTGGATATGGTGCCTTCACAAATGAAGAAATCGGGACTTAACGGAGGTCAAATGATTTTTCCTAACTCACATCATGAACTAAAGGCAGAGCCGGAAAGCAAAAGCAATTCTATCTGGCTCAGATCGTTTAAAATTTTTTTTCATGTTTGTTTGTTCTTGAGAAAGAGAAGAGAGTGAGCAGGGGAGGGGCGGAGCCAGAGAGGGACACAGAATCTAAAGCAGGCTCCAGGCTCTGCACGGTCAGCACAGAGCCCGACGCGGGGCTTGAACTCATGAGCCATGAGGTCACGACTTGAGCCAAAGTCGACGGTTAACCAACTGAGCCAGCCGGGCGCCCCTGGCTCAGATCATTTCTAACGACTGTGTGGCTAAGCCTGCAAATAAAATGTTGCTGGTGAACTCTGATTTCCCTCTCTGCTTCCTCTCATTGATTTCTTGTGTGCATTGTTCTCATACTCACTGTGATCCTTGCTCTGATTTTTCTCTGCCAGTGGTAGGTAAGTGAGGCTTAGTCCCAGAAAGTAGAGGATGGGGGAGGTGCATGTCTGCGGATTAGCTAAGGGTTCCTCTGGCGGGATTGGTTTAGGAGTGTGGCAGAAAGGCCTCAGCCAGTTTGACCCTCTAGAGCTTACCTGTTAAACAGGCAGGAGGCACCATATTGGGCAGATAAGGAAACAAGAAACAACTAATCTAAAGAAACTCAGCTTGGAGCACTGCAGTCAAAGGGGTGAAATACAGACAGTAGTCGGAGGACTGAAGAAGGGACCTGAGTCCAGGCAAACCAGTTGGACAGGGAGGTCCAACTTCTGTTACTTGCTTCTAAGTGAAGAATCACAGGCTGAGCTTTTCACATTGGGCTTAGGGATTCTATTACTCACCTCTTCCTAAAAGAGCTACCATTTTTTCAAATGCTCAGGTGTCGATTGCCTCTTGAGCTATCATTTACAGTCCTTCTCATTTCCCCTTTCACTGTCTGCTGCTAGGCTTTCCCCCTTCTAAGCCCGTGGCTGGGGAAAGCACACGCATGCATAGTTTTTCCCCCTAGCTGGCATCCTCAGCCAGTGCCTTGACCTTGGTCATTAAACTGTCTTGCCCTCATTACCATCTTTTTTGCCCTGTTCTGGGCAGCATCACACAGCCTTCCCTGCCCTCGGCCTGCCCATCAGATAGGCCGGTGGGAAGCATTAGCAGATCTTTGGCAGTGGCTGAGTTCTGCCTTAGACCCTGACTGGAGCCACAGTCCCACTCCCGTGGCTCCTACTCTCAGCAGGTGCCAGTAACCTTCCGGGCAGGTTTAAGACTGCTAAAGGCTTCCTGCTGTTGGGGGTCCCTGGGTGCCTCGCCAGCCCTTGGTTTATCAGCCCTGCCCGCACCTTTGTAAAATTCCCTCTGTGAAGTCCTCTCCATATTAGCCCTTTGAGTATACCATCTGGTTTCTGCCAGAATACTGACTGATTCAGTCACTCTTTTTCATGGATCTTGCTTAGACTTCCTGCTTTGCCTTTTCTCTTTAATGTCTTCCTAATTCTTTTCGTGCTCAGCATCCTGTACTATAGTCCAGGCCTTCAACAACTCCATTTAATAATACGTCCTGACCGGGGCACCTGGGTGGCTTAGTCGGTTAAGTGTCTGACTTTCGCTTAGGTCATGATCTCGCAGTTCGTGGGTTCGAGCCCCGCGTCGGGCTCTGTGCTGACTGCCAGCTCAGAGCCTGGAGCCTATTTCAGAGTCTGTATCTCCCTGTCTCTCTGACCCTCCCCTGCTCACGCTGTCTCTCTCTCTCTCTCTCCTAGAAATAAATAAAAATATTTTAAAAATAATAATACGTCCTGACCACCTATGCTACACAAGGGCCTGTGGCGATTATCTTTCCCCGCCCCCCAAGCTTTTGGAGGTCTCTTAACTGGCTTAGTGTCTCCTGTCTCTCAATTCTACCGCTAGGCTGATATTCATAAACAGCACTTCGATTAGATTCTTTACTTCCTCAAACATTTTCAATGGCTCCCCTCTGCCCATAGAAAAAAATAATCGGCCATTTAACCTGCCATTCAGTCCCTCCATTTCCCTACCTTTTCAGTGGATTCACCTATAGAGCCCTCTGTTGTGGGTTTATCACCCACCCCTTATGTGTGCCTTGTGCTTTCTTCCGACCATACTTTTCCTCATGCCGCACCGTCTACAAGGAGTCTGTTTCTCTTAAATACTATTAGTCCTTTGATGCAACTTCCAACCTCTCCTCCTCTGTCCCCTCTCCTGAGACCTTAACAGTGGAAATGCTCTCTCTCTTTGCAGCACAGTAGAGTTTATTGTCTGTTCTATTTTTTTTTTTTCAACAGTTAATTATGTCGTGCCTTAGGAAATATGTTACCTAAGTCCTCTGTGGGCATTTATCAGCCGCAGGAGCTCCGCTGTGTATAGCGGTGTGAATTTCAGGCAAGTTTCTTCCCTCCCTCCTTGCTTCCTTGTGCTGCACTTCTTGAGTATATCATACATGTGGGTTCTGGCCTAAGTGCCAGGCTGTGCCCGTGACCATACACTGATGTGAGTCCCATTCATATGGCACTTAAAGTGTAGTGAGTGAGACCTACACTAGTGAAGTCCATTCACAACTAAAGTTGCCGCTCTGATCGGTGCCAGGAAGGGGTATGTGGTGCTGCTGTAGCTTGTAACAGCCGTTTTGGTCTGAGAAGAGCATCGTAAGGGTTGGCAAGGCTTGGGGCTGGCAGGCAGGAGGGAGTGGCACAGAAGAATAGCAGAGCAGAGCCCAGCGAGGCTGTCCCTCCTTCGAGGCACGTGTCATGTCTATTCCTGCTGTTTGAATGGTACTGCTACCATCCACATAAGAGGAACTCGGCATTTGCTGATATTTATTGAATCTTCCATCAAAGTGTTCTAACCAGACCCTGGAGATTGTTATCATCCCTTGCCCAGCGCCCGTCCCTGTGAAGTACTGTCCACAGAGGTCTCGCTCTCTGGCACGCGTTGTGCATGGCACACCTGGTCCTTAGTGACGCTGCTTGTCATTGGCCTCGTGCACGTGACTTGTTACTTTATCTTGTTTCCCACACAAGTTTGCAACTCTCTTCAAAGTGTAAGGGACTGAATGTTTCCTACATGTCACGGGTGAGTATCTGTCGATGATGGTAAGAGACCCATTTCCTCCCTTCTCCTCCCTCTGTCCTTTCCATTTCTGGGGAACAGGAGTCAGTGACTCTGGGATGTGTTCCTTCTTGGTAGAAAGGGTTCAGGACTGGGCACCGACACCCAGATCTTTTTCTGGTGAGTGCTGGGTAAGAGTGGAAGAGAAACCCATTTCTTCAGATGTTGGGGCAAAATGCCCAACAATTAAGTGAATGGGCTTATAGAGGCTCGAGGATGTGTAAGGAACGTGTATACACAGTAGCATGGAAGGGAAGCTCGCACGCGAATCACTGGCTGAAGGGCACAGTGCCCAGGACCCAAAGCAACTTGACTTTCCTGGAGTGAGCTGAGCCAGTATCCAGATTTTTGGGTCTTAGCTTTAAAAAAAAAAAACAACAAACAACTGAGTGGGAAATGTATTTGCTAAAGGCTTCTAAGGTTGAAGGGAGCTGCCGGAGGAGGGAGGGGCTGGATGACAGCGGTAAAGGGGAAGGGCCCCTGGCCTTGTGCTCAGTTCTTCCGCTCCCTCCTTACTGGACCCTCTATTCTCTCAGGCCTGTGAGTTCAGCCCAAGGATTGGCTTTGACTTCTAACAGAAGCTAAAGAGCAGAGATTGTCCATCTTATTTAGCAGCATATTCTCAATGGGATAAAATAAAATAAACCAAACAAGCTCGTGTCTTTTCTTACTATGTAAAAAGCGCTGGTTTGGTCCTAATGCAGGGAATGGAAAAGCCCTCCCTGGACAGGGGTGCGTCAGCAGAGCTGGCCGTTAGGAAAGAAGCCTGCAGGCCAGTGCCAACTTTACACCCAGGGCGGTGTGTTCTCTTACAAACTAGGCTCACGGTCGGGGGTCGGGAAGGGCCTGGGTAGCAGCTGGGGGGTTGGGGGGGAGGGTTACATCTCTGACTTGCAGCATTAGAGCTGCTTTCTCTTCCCTGCTCAGGTCTCCTAGGGAAACCTTAGCTGGCAGGGGTGGGCGGTGGCTAAAGAGGTGAAGCACCGAGTCAGGATTTCAGAATTCTCTTGTGGGACTGCACCCTCCCCTGGGGCAGCGAGTGGCCCCGCTCCCCCTTTTCCTGCCCTCCCCAGTGCCAGGACGGGGTCTTCCGCTGGGGCGCTGGGGCCCTATGCATCCAGGGTGAGGGCCGGGGCTCTGCCTCGGGGCCTGGCTGGAGCCCGACACCTCTGTAGTCCTGGCGTTTGGGGTCTGGGGCGGGGGACTCCCCCTCCGTGCCTCCCACACGGCTTCTGGTGGGACAGCCTCCCCGCTGGGGGCTGGAGCTGCGGCCGCCCCCACCCCTGCGGAAGACGGGGAAATACAGCATGCTTCGAGACCAGCAAACAGAAGGTGCTTTTATTTTAAAACCAAAAAAAAAGTGCTACAGTGACAGGACACTGCTGGGGCGAGCGCGCAGCCAAAGTGGACTCTAGGTGCCGGCTGGGAGCGCCCTCCTGCGTGTCCCCCGTCCCCTCCTCCCGGGCCTCAGCACGCAGGGTAGCAGCCTCATGGGCGTCTCTGCACTTCTGAAGAGCGGCTCCCACGCCTCTCTCTCCCGTCATCACACCCGAAGGCCTCATCCGCTGTCGCGCTTGCATACGGGGACCAGGATCGGGGACCCTGGCTGTCGCGCTTGCATATGGGGACCAGGATCGGAGACCAGGATCGCTGGTCAGAAGTCGGGAAATGCGGGGAGCCCTACCCCCAAGCCGGAGCAACATAAGCGCCCCAGCGCTAAGATCTCCTCTCTGTACATTCAGTATATTTGGTCCTATAAGCATCTATATACATACGTCTCTCTACATATATATTATCTCTGTCTCTTTCTCCTTAGGTAAACCTCCCGTTTGTACCATGTGCTACTTCCCAAGCCTCCACCGTGACTCTAGTACAAGGGAGGCTCGGCTTCACGAGTTCCCTCGTCAGCACCACCCCCTGTCTTGGTCACACCCTGAGTGCCCTCCCCTTGTCTTGGCCTCTGGAATCTCTGGGCTAACAGGGGCGCTTAGTGCTCTCCTGACACCCCAAGTCCACGGTCGCCGTGGTTCTGGGGGCCCATTTCTCACCAGACCTGGCTGCTTCTAAAGCTTGTCCGATAGCCGGAAAAAGGATCTCAGCTCCAAGGAAGAGGCTGGAGTACAAAGAGCCGGTTAGGGTTGAGGGAGTGTTTGTTCCCCGGGGAGGCCGACGGGAGAGGAAGCCAGGTTGTGTTAAAAGAACAGTATGATTTAAAGTGCAGCTTAGAGCAAAGTCTGGGGTTCTGGAGGAGAATCGAAAAGGTTAAGTCAGAAAATGTCCTTATTCTGTTATGCGGGAATCTGAGCAGAGTCTGGGGGCCTGGAATAGACAGCGGGGGCCTCGGGAGAGAGGATTTCCTCAGGAGGGACACAGCCATGCACAGAAGGAAGTAGTGGAGGATGGCTTGGTGACGGAGAAGGTAGGCGCGCACACACACACACACACACACACATGCGCGCGCGCACGCACACACACACACACACACACTTCAGTAATTTGGGCCCTTACACATGGAAAGAAGTCAGGTAAGTCTAACGTTGAATAAAGTCAAGAGCCCAGAAATCAGCCCTTTGCCTTCTGGTCTCTGTGTCAGATTTTCAAGTTTTTCTGGCTCTCATTTTCCGGAGAGCTAGGGAGCGTTGGCGGGGGTTTGGGGTTGGGGAAGAATGGTGGGTCTTCATTTTCAAGGTGGAGTTAGTGGAATTCAAGGAGAGATGCATAGAAGAGGGTCTTGTGCCGTCGTAGTGGGCGGTGACCACAGCTCCAGCCTCAGAACCGTGTGTTTCTACGTAAAGCTCCGCACGCAGACGCGCGGACACGGCCTGTGCTAGTGTGGAGCTCGGAGCGGTTGGCTCAGTCAACCTTAACAAACTGCCACTTGATTCACACAAGGGCTCTACGCCAAGCCCCCCCGCAGGGGCCTCCTGGTACCTAAGTGAGATCAGGAGGCACTCGGAATTCCAGAATTCCGGGCTTTAGAGAAAGTTCTGGTGCCCAAATGCCCTTCTTGGCCCCTCCCACAGTCCCCGCCAGGGAACAAGGACTGGCCCGACATCGACCTAAAGTATGCCCTTTAACTTCTTCCTCTTCACGGCAGAGGAGAGGGGAGACGGGCCCGGTGCCCACTTTGCCCCAACTCTCAGGAATGGCTAAGGGAGACCCCGGATGTTGGATTAGGAGGTGGGGTCTCCCTTCTTGCCAGCATTGCCCAATGCAATAGCTGGCGCTTTGCAGAAGGGTGACAGAGGTGACAAGGGAGAATGGTGTCTGTGGGCCAGACTTCTGCCCCGGCCCAAACCCTAATGAAGGACCCCCAATCCCCAGAGGCTCCACACAGCAGTCGAGATCTGAGAATTTACTCATCCGGCATGGTAGGGATAACATCACTTTCCTGGGGAAGCTGTGCCCTGTAAGTGCCTGGAACACCATTTCCAGACCTTCCCATGGGGCCTGGGAACACAGTGGCAAGGGCCATCCCATCCACGGGTCACAGGGAGACGAATCCTCTCAGGGCTGCCTGGAGGACAGGGTCAAGGTTTTGGACTAGGGCCTGCATCAGTCGCTCGGCACTCGAGGATGGGTGCATGTCAGCCTCTATTCTCTGGGAGCAGAGGCGGCTTCGTGAGAGAACTGAGCATCCTAAGAAAGGGTCCACTCGAGAAGATAGGAGGAGGAAAATGGGGGTGACCGAGGTTCTGGGTTCTCATCAGAAGGTGCCAGCAGAAATTAACTACACTATGAGAAACCCTGACTCCTTTCAATAGGGGTCAGTAGAGAACCCAGATTCCCAGATTTCGGAGGGCACAGACTCCAAAATGACCATTAGAGTCTTGCCTCAGGGAACTAGCTGGGTGGGAAATTAGAGGCGGGTGGGGGCTCCAGCCTCCAAACTTCACGGATTGGCGGTGGGAGGTGGGGGGAGTCTATCCATCCAACTGCATGGTCCTCCGAATGTGAATCTCCAAGCATGACTGATGCGTTCTAAGCCGCTTCAGCCTAATCTTCCCTCTCCTTCCCCCACCCTGGCGTTAGGGAGTTGCGTGTCTTGGGTAGAAGTGGGGTGGGGTGAAGGGGACGATGGAAAGAAGCTCGGACTCCAGTTGGCCTAGCCTACCCACAGGCCACAGGTTAAAGCAGAGGGAATGGAGAACGGGGTGCCTCTGGGGCTCTCCAGCAGGCCTGGGTGATAGCCCTCACCCAGGGTGCCCAAAGAGGAGAGTCCAGAGAGATGGGGAGGTGGGGGTCCAGGCTGTCAGACGTTGCTGATGCGCACACTTAGGGCGCTGCCCTCCTTCTCCGCTTGCTCCCTTAACGACTCCTCCAACTTGAGCTTCTCGGGGTCTCCGTAGCGTACAGTGCTGTCACGGAGGCCACTAGGAGGAGCCACTTTCACCACTTGATCAAAAAGGCTGAAGTCAGCTATGTATTTGCCACTGGCTGACAGCGAGATGGCGGGTGTGAACTCGTAGCCCCAGAGGATCTCCTCCGGCAGGTAGGAAGTGCGCACTTGGCAGGTGGCGCTGGTGGATTCCACGGTCCCGCTGAGGATCAGCACCAGCTCGAAGTCCCCCTCCCCGCTGCGAAGGGGGAGGTCTTTCAAGGGACTGGTCTCATCGACCACGTGGTAGAATGTAAGGGGCAGAATGAGGAAGGGGCTGTCCGAGGCAGTGTCTACTTGGAAAGTCACATTGACCTGGTTGAGCCGGATGTTCTCACCCTCTTTGGTCTGGTGGGTCTGGAGCAGTTTGCCTGTCACCTGGCAGCCAATCAGGAGGCTCTTGCGCATGTTGGCGACTCGGATCATAAGGCACGGCTTGCCGTTGTGGGCGGCCACGACGGCGTGCTGGCTGAAGCGGATGGTCTCGGCCCGCTTTTTGGGCCGGGCGATCTTCGCCAGGAAGGTGCCCGTGATGAAGATTTCCAGGATGGTGGTGAGCACTAGCTGGGCGATGAGCAGCACGATGGCCAGCGGGCACTCCTCGCTGATGTAGCGGAAGCCGTAGCCAATGGTGGTCTGGGATTCGAGGGAGAAGAGGAAGGCCCCAGTGAGTGTGTGCACCTGCACCACACAGGGGGTGTGGTTGGCCGGGGGCCCCAGCTCCAGCAGGTCTCCGTGGGCCACAGCCACCAGGTACCACACGACGCCGAAGAGGAACCAGGTGCCTGCAAAGGTGGCGGAGAAGAGCAGAAGCTTGTAGCGCCACTGCATGTCGATGAAGGTCGTCCACAGGTCCTTGAGGTAGAGGAAGCGCTTGTCAGCGATGTGCTCCATTCTTACGTTGCTGCGGCCGTCTTTCGTCAGGACCCTCCGCCGTCGGACCCCTGGGCCCATGAGGGGCCGGCTCTCTGTCTGAGTGGTCTGACTGTAATACACCTTGGCAACTGACGTCATCTGGAGGGAGATAGACAGCACAATGGGGGTTATTGCAGAAATCCAGCCAACTCCCGGCCACCGCCCACAATGAAGGAAGAAGTAACGTTTCTTTTGCTCTCACCCATCTCACTATTCGCACATATTTACTGAGCACTTGCTATATGCCGCACGCTGGGCAAGAGGCTGGTAAGTCAATGCTGAAAATGACCTCATCCTTGCTCTCCAAGAACTCACAACCTACTGAGCCAGACACACATCCAGTGAGCAAATCATCGCAGTGCAGTCTGATCTTTGTAATTCTTGGGAGAGGCAGAAAAGAAAGTAATAAGTTCCTTGAAGGTGGAGCCAGAAGGTGGTTCTACTTTCCCCGCAAAACCAGTTCTGTCAAGATCTCTAATTCTGAAATAGGATCCCTCCCCACCCTCACGAATGGCAGAGCAAGGAAGACTATCCTGTTGAAATCCTTCCAGGCTACCCTTCCCCAACTTAAAACACACAAACCCTTCATTTCCCCGCCTTCCCCAGGGCCCAAGGCAGCACTCGCTGGTGATACCAAGGTACTCAGCTGGCTCAGAAAACAGCAGAAACTGCCCATCCTTTACCCTTCGAGATGTTCTCTAAGGACCTGGACCATTTCATTGTGTATCATCACCATCACTATCATCTGTTTGCATCATCTGGGGGGATTCAGTCTGGGGCAGGTGGGGTTGGGAGTAGCACGGGCAGGACCCGAGCGATGGTGAAGGAGGAACCACCACACCGAGGCCTCCTGGCGGTGCGGGGACGCTTCCCCAAGGGCAGAGGGAAATGCCAGGTCAGAGGTGGCAAAGTGGCCTTGACTGGGTGAAGTAGGAGAGTTGGTGTGGATTAGCAGTCATGTCCGCACAAGTTCAAGTTCAGGATTGCTGTTTGTCCTGATAGAAGAAAGTGGGACAAGACTCTGAAATAGGAGACAGCTCACTTCATACAAGGTGCCGGTGCCTCTGCCCAAGGAGTAGCTTGTACTTTTCCAGCGGAGATAGGATTTCAATCACTGGAGCCCTTGGACTCTGGATCTGATGGCCAGACCTTCTGGGAAGGAGGAGGGTGATCTCCGGGGAGTTTGGTCCTTTGAGAACAGAGAAGCTCGTCCCATCCTCCATTCCAGAAAATCTGAACCGTCACATTATCCTTCTTCACACTGCTCCCTAACCCCATCTTCCCCACAGCCCGACACCTGGAAAACGAAATCATTTGGGTCCATTTAACCCCCCCCCCCCAAGTAGACGTTGGCCATCACCAATGGGTGAGAATCCTGAATGTTCCAGCGTTCACCCACTTGGGACTTTTATGCGAATGAAATCGCTACCCTTAGCTACTTTGGAGCAAAAGGGAAGCTCTAGAATTCTGAAGTTTGAAGGATTATTATTTAGAGCTCAGGTAAAGCCCTATTCAGTACTCAACAGTAGTAGTAATATTAAAAACAAGCACAGCCCCCGTATCTCTAATACCATTTTAAAGTTTGCCCGTTAGTGTACCTTCTCACTTGATCCTCAAACTGGAAAAGATGTGAAATCTTCATAAGAGACTCTGAGGAACTATAAGCAGATGGAAGCAGTCCTGGAAAGTTGTGGTTGAGTGAACATAATTTTTCTATTTTAATTTTAGTTTTAGTTTATTTATTTTGAAAGATAGCATGCGCACAAGAGAAGGGGACGGGGAGGGAGGGAGAGAATCCCAAGCAGGCTCTGCTCTGTGCTGACAGCACAGAGCCTGACACACGGTTCAAACTCACTAACCACAAGATCATGACCTGAGCCAAAATCAAGAGTCAGAAGCTTAACCAGCTGAGCCACCCAGGTGCCTCTTATTTTAATTTTCAAAAAGAAAAACAAGGCACATTTCACAAACCACAGACAAACAGGTAAAATATTGACCCAAGCAAGATTCTAGAACAACGGAGCATTAAGATTCTGAGTACTTGGGCAAGGTGGGAGAAGGGCAAATTATCCAGAGGACCCATCATGCAGTTACCAACAATGAGTCACATCAACTAACCTAACTTCTTTCTAGGTCAAGGTTACGAGATGGGCAAGTCACAGGAATGCAATAGATAAAGCGTATCTGTGCAAGATTTTTGCGAAGATTTCTCCATATATCCTTGAGGATAAGCCAGAAATATGAACTCTGATTTTGGTGACTAAAACATACAAAAATCAATGGTACTAGTAAGTGGATCATGATAGCCTAGAATCTGTTTTCTAGCGATGTGCCAGAGAGCTTTGTCCTTGGCCTTCCTCTCTTCAATGTTTGTAACATTAATTTCTTTTAAGTTTATTTATTTTGAGAGAGAGAGAGGGAGGGGGGGAGGGACAGAGAGAGGGGGAGAGAGAAAGAATCGCACTCAGGCTCCTCACTGTCAGCAATGAGCCTGATGCCGGACTCGAACTCACAAACCTGGAGTTCATGACCTGAGCTGAAACCAAGGGTCAGACGCTTAACCAACTGGGCCACCCAGGCACGCCCATTTGTAACATTAATTTCATCCAAACCTATAGAACACAAGGCCATCAGTTATGAGGATGACACGAAGCTGGGGCAGATCGCAAATGCAAGGTCTGGGGTAGAATTAGGATCCAAAAGGAGCCAGAGGAATGGGCTAAATCTAACAAAAAGAATAAGTGTTGGGTTATATATTTGGGTCCAAAAATTATCTGAGCAATTCTGGATTGGAAAGATGTGATGCATTTTGGTTGCCAAAAAAGCAGTGCTATTTTGAGCTACTTTCGGTGAATTAAAGTATCTAGAATAAGAGAGTTGTTGATTCTGCTCTGCTGTGCTCAACCTGTACCTGCAGTTTTGAGTCTCAAGGAGCAATCAGGATATGACAGGATTCAGACCCAGATGGTGAAAGAAATGGCTGAAGGAAATGGGGTCGTTAGTCGGGAGAAGAGACGATCGGAGGGATGTGAGCGGCTCTCTGCAAATACTTGGTTTGAAGGGCAATCACATGCACAGGGCTTTGGACCTATTCTTTGAGCTCCAAGAGGAATCACCAGGGCCAATGAACCCACACCACAGAGGGAAAGATCCCAGACTGACGTGACAAAGAAAAATATAACAACCAGGACATTCAAATGTGAAAAGAGCCTCTTGGGAGGTACGCAGTGCTCTGTGCCCGGAGGTGCTCAAGGGCAGGATGGACAAGCACTTTGCAGAGAGTTGATAGAGGAGATTCAAGCTTTCACCCACACTCATGGAGGACCGGGATGCCTGCTTCTTCAGTGCCATCTCTACCCCGTACGTCCTCGGGCGACATCTGGGGATCCATCGTCGAAGTCCTAGCTTTGTGCTGAGGAAGGATTCCGCCTACCCTGTGGAATGGAAGTTCTTGGGGCCCAAGGGAAGCTTGCTTCTCATTCCCCAAATGACAGTCTGTGATCATTGTGTTATCACGTTGCTGTTCATAAAATATGTAATTTGACCCTCACACCACAAAGTAAGTACAAAAGTCATTAGAAACAGGCTGAGGAGGGGCGCCTGGGTGGCTCAGTCGGTTAACGCCTGACTTCAGCTCAGGTCATGATCTTGTGGTTTGTATGTTCAAGACCCACATCAGGCCCTGTGCTGACAGCTCAGAGCCTGGAGCCTAGAGCCTGGAGCCTGCTTCGGAATCTGTGTCTCCCTCTCTCTCTGCCCCTCTCCTGCTCACTCTCTCTCTCTATCTCAAAAATAAATAAACATTAAAAAAGAAAGAGAGAGAAGAGGGAGAGAAAGAGAGGAAGGAAGGAAGGGAGGAAGGAAGGAAGGAGCTCAGGAGATTTGCCCCAAGTAGATTAATAGTAGAGTTGGAACCAGAACCCAGGTCTTCCAGATTCAGGTCCAGAACTTCCTTCCTTCCTTCCTTCCTTCCTTCCTTCCTTCCTTCCTTCCTTCCTTCCTTCCTTCCTACTTATTTATTTACAAATAAGTAGATTCCACACCCAACGCAGGGCTTGAACTCCCGACTCCAAGACTGAGTCATGTGCGCCCCCAGGACTTTCGTAGCAACTGTGTCTGTGCACCCCAGGTCCATTCTCACGGGTGCTCTGGGGAAGCGCCTCTGTGGGGCTCTGGGTCGAGGGTCCCCGCTGAGCGGGAAAAGGCAGAGCCGGGGGCATCAGAGCCCAGCGTGAGGTCCATGGGTTCATGGCACTGGAGATTTAGGCTACTGGTCGGAGCTCTGTTGTGATAGCCGCCTCCGGCCATGTGCCTGCTGTTGCCAGCCTTTCTCTCTGCCTCCGCCAGCTGTCCCCAGCTGCTGGGCCACCTCCCACAGCCAGGCAGCTTTGTTCTCTGTGGGGGTAAGAGGCAGAAGCGGATAAACAGACCGCACCGCCCCACCCCCAAGCTGGCCGGGCTCCTGGGAAGGCAGCAGGGACCCAACTCTGGAAGGGGTTTGTCGCTGCCCCAACCGGGCACACACAAGAGTCCTACCTCCAGAGGGCGCTGTGTCCCCAAACTAGTCCAAGCCAGCTCCCAAGGACAAACTCTGAGGATCAAAACAGCCCCCAAATGATGAAAGGGAGACCATAAACTTCTCCATTCTCGAAGAATTGTACTGATGACTATCTCTCTAAGACCAAGGCCAGTCACACCTACGGTGATGTCCAGCCCGCGTCCTCAACAGATACTGCTCTATACCCCAGGCTGCCCGCCTGGATTTATCCCCGAGCTCCAGAATCACGTGTTCTCCAAACTGGAGGTGGGGGGGGTGGATTGTCCAAGCCCTTCTTGAGCCCAGCTCTGCTCTGGAACCAGGACACGCAGCTGTAGTGACTGTCATGACTCAAAATGATCCAGGGCTCCCTACTGCTTTTAGGATAAACTGTAACCCTCTGAGCGTAGCATTCAAGGCCCTGCATGGTTTGGTCTCTGCCTACTTGGTGGCATTACCCCTGCCTCTTTTGCACACGCACCCCAGACCCCAGCTCTGGAGAGAGCCTCATCCCTTCATCCTTTCTGCCTTTGAACCTGCCGTCGCACCACCTCGCCCCGTG